TAATCTAAAGTGTCCTGCGCTTTAGGAGTTGGCTCTCAAAACCTCTCTACATCCCAAAATTTTATGACTGATTTCTTTTGGCTCCCAAGGATTTAGGATATGGAAGCACCAGCAGGCCAGAGGCTCCAAGGGAACTAGCCTCACACCTGCTGGCCAGGACTGATTGTAAGCCTGCTAAATGCCTTGTGTTTCTATATTTTGCTTTGCTCAGAAATCTCTCTTAAGTGAAAGTGAGTGAGACATGCAAATAGCAGGGCCAAAAAATGGGAGCTCGAAAAGAAGCTGCCTGTATTTGGTAAACAAAACTCTTTTAGAAATCTGGGGACATTAACAGGTGAAATGGTGCCCAAATCCTATGTAAGATTGAAAGCATCTGTTTTGTCCATGAAACTTCTCGCTTGCCAGGAAAACAACATGTCAATAACATCACAAGGAATGAAGTGTTGCGTAAAGGGCAAGAAAGATTGGCAGTTGCCACAATGGCCACAAATCTGTGTATCTGCGTTTACAAAATGCCATAGTAATTTTGAAGGCTCAGGGAACAAATGGTAAGCGAGGACGGCCTATACAACTGAACTTCACAAAGGATCCTCTGCTACCAGTCTGTATGATTATATGACTGCTACCATTTCTATAGAATAAAACAGAATTTCTATCATCCTCAATAGCTATTTTTTATAAAGTACTCGGTTAACCACAGATGAACATGGCTAATACACTGATGGAATCCAATAGGAAAAAGCCATGCTTGTTAGCTGAACATGAGGTTCCCATCTTCAAGAAAGGGGAGAAAAACAGACACAGGAAACTACAGACCAATCAGTCTAACATCAATACCTGGGAAGATCCTGGAAAAGATAATAAAAAACAGATCTGCGAACAACTGGAAGCAAATAAAGTTATAACTCATAGCCAGCACGGGTGTGTTAAAAACAAATCATGCCAAACCAATCTTATTTCATCCTTTGATAAAGTGACTATAAATTAGTAGACCAGCAAAATGCTGTGGACATTAATATACTTAGATTTCAGTAAGGTACTTGACAAAGTAGATCACAACCTACTTCTTGGTAAGCTAGAAAAAGCTGGAAAGGACAACATCACCACCAGATGGATTTGTAGCTGGCTGACAAACTGCACTCAAGGAATAGTCCTTAATGGTACTACATCCACATAGAGAGGAGTAAGCAGTGGGGTACCACAAGGCTCAGTCTTAGGCCTGGTACTCAATATCTTTATAAATAACTTAGATGAGGGAATAGAAGAAGAATTCATCAAATTTGTAGATGATACTTAAACTGACAGGAATAGACAACGTTCTAGAAGACAAACTTGGGATCCAAAAAGATCTTGACAAACTTGAACAATGCGACCTATCCAACAAAATGAATTTTAATGTAGAGAAAAGCAAAACCTCACATTTAGGCAAGAAAAATGAAAGGGATAAGTACAAATTAGGTAAGACCTGGTTCAAAAACAGTAACTGTGAGAGGGGCCTTGGAGTCCTAGTGGATGATCATTTCAAAATGAGGCAGCAACAGTAAAAAAAAAAAAAAAAGGCTAATACAATCCTGAGTTGTATAAACAGAGGCACAGAATCAAGATCACGTGAAGTATTATTTCCACTTTACAAAACCCTAGTAAGACCACATCTGGAATACTGCAACCAATTTTGGTCACCGTACTACTGAAAAGATGTTGAGACTTTGGGGGGGGGGGGAAGTTCAAAGAAGAGCAACTAAGATGATCAAAGGCCTGGAGATGAAACCATATGAAGAACAGCTGCAGGTTTTGGGTCTGGCTTGTCTAAAGAAAAGAAGAATTAGGGGTGACATGATAGCTGTATTCCAGTATTTGACAGGCTGCCACAAAGAAGAAGAGGTCAAATTATTCTCCAAAGCACCAGAGGGTAAAACAAGAAATAATGGCTGGAAACTAATCAAAGAGCAAAGCAACCTGGAAGGAAGGAGAAACTTCCTAACAGTGAGGACAATTAACCAGTGGAACAGCTTTGCCTCCGAAGGTTGTAGGAGGCTCCATCGCTGGAGGTTTTTAAGAAAAGACTGGACAGCCATGTTATAGGTTCTCCTGATTGAGCAGTTGGCTGGACTAGAAGACCTCCATGGTTGCTCTGTTCTGTTTCCATTTCTATTCTTTCCCATTCCCATTTTATTCATGGAAGTAAAAGAAGGTAAAATCCCAGAAGAGGCCAGTGGCAGATCAGCCCCATAATGTTGCCAAGAAGAAGAAAAAAACAGGTCCGTAAGATACCCAAGGAATTAATTTTAATTGGAAGGAGACTTTGTCAATCTTCCAACCAGCAGAAAATTGTGGGCATCAGTTTTAAGAACTGCAGCACCGGTGGAATAAAATCTTGGCCGAGAGAAGGAATATGTCGAAGCCTAGTCGTTACTCTGCTTTTACACAGCGGAGGAAACCAGGCGGCCCTAACTTGCTCCGGGCTTCTTTTCTGGCCTGACCACGACTCACCTTCCAGCTGCTACTTGGACCATGGGAAAAGCCCAGACAGCCAACCTCCACGCTTCCCATCGCCTACAAGTGAGCCGAAATAGAAGTTCCTCTCCCCCATCTCCTCTTTTCTCGTCTAAATCCTTTCTAGCAATATTCGCTTGTTTTTAACTCTATCACTCCCCCGTTGGATGTCGGATCTCAGCTACCACGAACGCAGCTATGAAGAGTGGAGGTTTTCCAGTGTGGTGTTAGAACTCCATCTAGTGAGAGAAATCTGAAACTGCGCTCATTTTGTCCCTTTCGGACGTTTTTAAGATTTTTTTAAACGAAGTGCCGTTTTCCACTGTTAAACATCCATAACTTTTCTCCAGGACCATCTAGCCTCAGTCTGTCCTTTGGGGGTCTTATGGAGTCACTGCAACTGAGCCTGGAGCTTCTTTTGCAAGAAGTAAACCAAGGGAAAGCATCCGTGGGGGGGAACACAATGTGCCATCAGACAAGAACAAAGCACACCTCCCTTGGGGATCCATGGAGAATATTCCAGGCAGTTCTTCATACTGGGGGTGCAGGATTATGCCCCAAAACTAACTTTGCAACTGTGGGAAGCTTGAAGAGTGAAGCTTGATCCTACTTAGTTTCACAAGATTACCAGCGGCATCAGCTTTAAACAATTGCCAACTTCATCCCATTAATAAAAGAATGAAATATGGGACAAATAGTTGAAATTCCCCCCACCCACATTGCTTTCAAACACATCTATATGGGAGATATTATTTTTTTTCCACTTGCATTCATGCAGGGCCTAAATCTCATGAGGGCAGAATTTCTCTGAGGAATCAGTTTCCCAGAGGACTTAAGATTCCAGCATCAAATATTCTCAGGCAGCTTGTGAAAGGACATATTGACATGAATCTATCTAACCTTTGCTCTTTGCTTCTGTTAAAGAAGTTGCTTGTGCTACTTTGCTAAGGATGAGAATCATGTGTGAGGAATTCATTCTGCAAGAGAATTGTATCCTTTTCTATCTGGTTTCTCCCCTCTGCAATTTGCTTCAGAGCGAGGCACATCCTTGGAGATAGTTCCCAGGAACATCCTGCTCCATAGATCGTGTGTGTGTGTGTGTGTGTGTGTGTGTGTGTCTAGAAGCACAAACACACAAGGACAAGGGGTACGGTGTAAAATAACAAAGCATGGACAGAGCATAGACAAAGTATGCTCCATGGATAAGGAAGGGGAGGGCATGGCCCACATTGAAGAACGAACCTTTGTCTCTGATTGGATAAACTTAGTTTCTGTCAGCATATAATGTATATAATACTCTGAGCCACTCGCTGTGTTTGGCTATTCCTTAACATGCATTTTGTCTGTATGTTTTGGACATAGTATTTACCCAGGCTATTTGCCTTGACTAAAGAATTTTAAAAAAACTGTTATTTTTGCAAGCCTCATCTCCAGTCTCACTCTTTGGTATCTCCGTGGCTCAGGGAAACTTCTGGGACCTTACACCAGTTTGTAGAAAGCTGATCTAAAAAGTCCTGTGCTTTAATAGTTGGCTCTCAATCCCTCTCCCAGGCCCAGAAAGCAGGAGGCCTGGAGACTTCCTACTTGCCCATAGCTCTAACCTGCTGGCCTGCTTGCCTGGGATTCTTCCCACATCAGTGTGAACATGTGGTCCTCACTTAATGACCCATGGGGTGCTGGAATTGCAATGGCAAGTGGAACTGCCAGGATTGCCCTCGCTAAGCAACATGGTCATATGATGTCGTTTTTTATAACGACATTGAATAGCAGTGGAAATTCTGGCACCAATTGCGGTCACAACCCGAGAATTACTATTTCTTTTCCAAACTCAAGAAAGGGCTGGAAGAGTAATTTCCCCCCTTCTGGACAGTTGAAACCTGACTGGATTTATACCTTCAACAGCAGTTTGTAAAGCATAATAAAATCACGAGAGGATTTCCTAGCAGAGCAGCTCAAGGCTTTGCTGCAGATTCAGATCTTTTGTAAGTGCAGCTGAAGAGGGCAATGAAAAGTTGGCAGCCTGGGACTTCCACTCGCCCTCTGCTTGCATGAAGGATGACTTAGCCACCCAGAGAAAGGGCTGTGCAGGAGCAAAGACACCTGGGCCCTTCTCAGTCTGGGTTCAGGCCGGGGCCCAACACCAAAATGCCATTAGTTGCAATTCTCATGGACTTTTGGAAGGCTTGGGATAGATGGGACACAACTATTATGTCTTTCCGAGATCTCAACCCCATCGATTTGCTATCCTTCTGGACCAGCTTTGGGGACTGGAAATGGGAGACAATTTATTATGGTGGTTCTGTTTCTACTTTCAATCGGTGTGTGTAGAAGAGGAACCGAGTTCTGGCCCCTGAAATTGGGGTGCCCCGGGTCTCAAGGCATTTGCTGCTGCTTTGCAACATCTACATGAAACTGCTAGGGGAGGCCATCCATCCTAATTATGTACAGGTAGATACCCAATTATGTACAGGTAGTCAGTCCTTGATTGACAACATTTCAATCGGTGACCATTTGAAGTTACAAGGGCATTGAAAAAGGTGACGTGGCCATTTTTCACCTTGCGACATGCCCAGGGTCATGTGATCAAACTTCAGAGAGTGAGAGGCCTTGCACACAGGTCATTAATGCCTTGCCCACCTCGTTTTGGCTTACTGCACCGGACCAATTGTAAATGGGAAATCGTGTGAAGTTACAACAGTACTGAAAAAATTGACTTATGACCATTTTTCTTGCAGCATCCCCCTTGTCACTTCATCAAAATTCAAAAACGTGGCAATTGGGTCCTTATTTCTGACAGTTGCAGCATCCTAGGGTCATGTGATCACTTTTGGGGACTGAGCTGGTACACAACCTGGAGGTCCTCCGGGACTCATGTCTACTGCTTGAGAAGATCGTGACTCGGGGAGGGGCTTTGCACAGATTTTCATCTGGTCTGCCAATTAAGCCCTTTCCTGGACAAGGGAGTCCTTGCACAATGGGGTCACTTATGCCTTAGATCCCCTAAGCCCTGGGATAAGAAGGGTTGCTTCAACACAAGAAACTTGATTTGGAACCAGGTTTTTGTTTATATTAAATTTATATGCCGCGAATCCTGTGGTTAACTTCCCCAATTTGACTCCTTGCAAGGAGAAAGATTAACCAGTTTTGAGCAAGAATGGCACCTGACATGAATAGAATTAGTAAAGCCAGGAAGCCTGGTTAAGTTCAAAATTGAAGAAAAGTAAGAATCACCTTTTCGGGATTCCCAGATCATCAAAATGCCGTCAGCTTCACTAGAAGTGTCCTGTGTTTGCAGGGCAAGTACATTTTAAATGCAGACATTGCATTTTGCCACCTGCAACATACGGAGTTTATTGGTTTCTGTAATAAGGTTTTATTGCTGTAAACTAAGTGGAGTCATACGAGCTGGGTTGCTATATACATTTTGTTACTGAATAAAAATACATAAACACATACTTATATCCCTGTTTTTTATATGTAGAAATAACTCAAGGTGGCAAATATAATACAGATCATCCTATCTGATCTTTCTATTCCTCATGTTTGATACTAAGATGTTTCACTAAAAAGAACCTTCTTTCTCTAAAAAAATCCTTCTTTCTAGCATATTCCTGCAGGTGCAGGGTTCGCTTTTCACATCACTGAATGCCATTTTGCACGGTCAGCTGCGTCTTCAGGACACAGGCCCAAGGTTTGCATATCTTTGTTGATGGTGTCTTGCCATCTCTGTTTTGAATGCCCACGAGGTTGCCAGCCATTGACCTCTAGTTGGTAGGAAGTCTTGGCCATGGTGGATGGTGCTGGTCTCTGTCCACACCAGCAGGGTCGGCCTTCTCTCATCTTCTCTATAATTGATGCCACACCAAAAGGCTGTCGAATAGTGTCATTTGTAATGTGGTTAAGGAGTTGCCCAATATCCAACAGAGCATTTGGCATTTCCATGCCATGGAGATAGCTTTTTGTCCCAGTTTTTGCTGCCCACCATTCAGTGCCATGCAGTGCTACAGGGCATATTTTCACTAAAAAGAATCATGCAAGAAATTAAATGGCAAATTGCTCAGCTGGGTTACAAATGAGAGACAAGAAACAAAATTCCAGATTCCTCTACAGACATCAAATTTTGCCTCAAGTGCAATTTCTTGTGTGTGATAAGGGAGGAATTTTGTGTAAAACAATGTTTGTCTGCAACCTAGGTAGTTGAATGGTTACTCCCCTATGTGTAACCTTACATGATTTATAAGGCTAGACCTAGTACTGAAATCTTTCCCACAATCTGGACATTCATATGGTTTCTCTCCTGTGTGAGTCCTCCAGTGTATTACCAAATGGGAATTCCGACTGAAACTTTTCCCACATTCAAGACACTTATATGGTTTTTCTCCTGTGTGAGTCCTCTGATGTTTCACCAGGTTGGAATTATCCTGGAAACTTTTCCCACAATCTGAACATTCATATGGTTTCTCTCCAGTGTGAGTCCTCCGATGTCTCACCAGATTGGAATTCTGACTGAAACTTTTCCCACAATCTGGACACTTATATGGTTTCTCTCCCGTATGAGTCCTCTGGTGAATCACCAGGCTGGAATTCTGACTAAAACTTTTCTCACAATCTCGACACTCATATGGTTTTTCTCCTATATGAGTCCTCTGGTGAATCACTAGCTTGGAATTCTGACTAAAATGTCTCCCATTACCCGGACAATTATATAGTTTCTCTCCTGTGTGAGTCCTCTTGTGTACCACCAGGCTAGACCTGTGAGTGAAACCCTTCCCACAATCACAACACTTGTAGGGTTTCTCTCCTGTGTGAGTCCTCTTGTGTAACACCAGGCTAGAATTGTGAGCAAAACCCTTCCCGCAATCACAACACTTATATGGTTTTTCTCCTATATGAGTCTTCTGATGTTTCACCAGGTTGGAATTATCCTGGAAACTTTTCCCACAATCCGAACACTCGTATGGTTTCTCTCCTGTGTGAGTCCTCCGATGTTTCACCAGATTAGAATTCTGACTGAAACATTTCACACAATCTGGACACTTATATGGTTTCTCTCCCGTATGAGTCCTCTGGTGAATCACCAGGCTGGAATTCTGACTGAAACTTTTATCACAATCCAGACACTCATATGGTTTTTCTCCTTTGTGAGTCCTCTGATGTTTCACCAGGTTGGAATTATCCTGGAAACTTTTCCCACAATCCGAACACTCATATGGTTTCTCTCCTGTGTGAGTCCTCCGATGTCTCACAAGATTGGAATTCTGACTGAAACCTTTCCCACAATCTGGACATTTATATGGTTTTTCTCCCGTATGAGTCCTCTGGTGAATCACCAGGCTGGAATTCTGATTGAAACTTTTCTCACAATCTGAACACTCATATGCCTTGTCTCCTGTGTAAGTCATCTGGTGTATCACTAGCTTGGAATTCTGATTAAAATGTATCCCTTTATCCGGACACTTATACAGTATTTCTCCCATATGAGTCCTCCGGTGAATCACCAGGCTGGAATTCTGACTGAAACTTTTCTCACAATCCGGACACTCATATGGTTTCTCTCCTGTGTGAGTCCTCTGGTGTATCACTAGCTTGGAATTCTGACTAAAATTTCTCCCACAATCACAACACTTGTATGGTTTCTCTCCTGTGTGAGTCCTCTTGTGTACCACCAGGCTAGAATTGTGAGTGAAACCCTTCCCACAATCACAACACTTATATGGTTTCTCTCCTGTGTGAGTTCTCTGATGATCCACCAGGGTGGAATTCTGACAGAAACCTTTCCCACAAACTGGACATTCATATGGTTTTTGGCCTGTGTGAATCCTCTGATGTGCCACCAGATTGGAATTCTGACTGAAACTTTTCCCACAATCTGGACACTTATATGGTTTTTCTCCCGTGTGAGTCCTTTTATGTATCACCAGGTCAGAATTCTGCGTGAAGCTTTTTCCACAATCCAGACATTCATATGGTTTCTCTCCTGTGTGAATCCTCTTGTGTATCACCAGGTCAGAATTCCGTGTGAAACTTTTTCCACAATCTGGACATTCATATGGTTTCTCTCCCGTGTGAGTCCTTTTGTGTATCACCAGTTCAGAATTCCGTGTGAAGCTTTTCCCACAATCCGGACATTTAAAGAGTTTCTCCTTAGTGCGAGTCCTCTTGTGTCTTACCAGATTGGTCTGCATGCTAAATCCTTTGTCACATTGGGAGTACTGATAGAGCTTGTCTTTAGTATTGGTCCTACCAAGAATCATGAGGAAGATTCTTTGAGTAAATCTCTTGCCGCGCTCCCAATATTCGTATGGGTTTTCATCAGCTATGATCTGCAATCTGCGTTTTTCCCACAATAGGCAGTCTGTGTGGTTTTTCACACACTGATATTCGTGGACTCTTCAGGAAGCCAAAAATATTTCTGATCTATTACTTGGAGGTTCTTTTATTCAAGTCATTCTTTCCTTTGTCAAATATTTTCATTAATACCTGTCCATTTTGGCTATCCAAGGAACCTTTTCTTTTCACTGACTTTCAGTTATTTCCACTTTTTTGTTTTTCTGATATTATCACCCTTGACTTCTTAGATAATGTTTGCTTCAGTTGCACATACTCTACTTTTTCCAGCTCAAAACTTTGTTCTTGTTATTCTTTCCCTTGTCTTTCATCTGCTGAGGAAGGAGAAGAGGTTTTACACTTTCTGGAGGAAATGGAAAAAAATCTTGATTGAAGGCTTGGTTTGCATTTTAAGGCTGCTTCTCATTCTCTGTTGTCCAGAGTGCTCTTCTTGGCATCCTCTTTGTCTGTAAGAGTCATATTAATGGGTTAATTTCATTATTATTTAAAAATTTGCTGTAGGACATGTGAAAGCAACAAAAAAACCCAATCCTCATATATTACCATAAAGGAAGAAATATCAAAGTTCTAGTTTCAGCTCTAACGTTAACTATGATTCATTTGGCATGTAGACGACTACCAAGTTCAAGAAGATCCAAGTTCAAGTATCAACTCAATCACAAAATTCTTTTTCTTTTTGCTTGGGTCAATCACACATACATGCATGCCTACATTTTTTTTTAAAAGAAAAACCTCATTTATGTATAAAATCTATCTGCGTTTCAGTATGCAAAATGTCCTAGAAGTGCATTCAATTTTTTTTTGATCTACATTTAGAAATGTGGAGACGCTAACAGACGAAACGGTGCCCAGATCCTATGCAAGATTAAAATCATCCATTTTACCCAGGAGATTCCTCACTTGCCAGGAAAACAACATGGCAATAATATGTCAAGGAATCAAGAGACTGAGAGAGATGGGCAGATATTAAATATAAAAAAATAAAGATTTTTTTTAAAACCCCTATGTCTCATATTCAGAATAGAGCTGGAAGGGTCCTTGTGGGTCTTCTAGCCCATTCCCTTACTCAAGCAAGAGACCCTATTACCATTTCAGAGGCTTCCCCCTCTCTTCTTAAAAACCTCCAGCCATGGGGCCCCCAGAAGATCTGAAGGCAAAGCTGTTCCACTGCTTAACTGACCTCACTGCTAGGAAGTTTCTCCTGAATTCCAGGTTGCTTCCCTCCTTGATTAGTTTCCAACTTTTGTTTCTTGTCCTGCCCTCTGGCACTTTGGAGAATAAGTTTACCCCCTCTTCTTTGGGGCAGACCCTCAAATACCGGAATACTGATGGGTTTCCATCCATTGTTTCTTGTCCTGCCCTCTGGCACTTTGGGAATAAACTGACCCCCTTCTTTTTGTGGCAGCCCCTCAAATACCGGACTACTGCTATCATGTCCCCCCTAGTCCTTCTTTTCTCTAGACTGAGCCAAATCCAAATCCTACAATCGTTTTTCATATGTTTTAGTCCCCAGGCCCGGGGTCTTCAAACTTGACAGCTTTAAGACTTGTGGGCTTCAATTCCCAGAATTCCTCCTCCGGTCATTTTAGCTCAGGAATTCTGGGAGTTGAAGTCCACAAGTCTTAACCTTGCCAAGTTTGAAGACCCACTTGCCCCAGGCCTTTCAAGTTTGGTCTCTGCCATTTCCCAGCAGAAAATTACAGGCAGCGGATTTAAATCGTGCACAGCATTGAGTGTAATAACATTCGTGGAGAGAAAGAACATGGAGCAGCAGCAACAGCAGCCCACAACTTTCAGCCTTGTTGCTTCTCTGCTTCTACCCCGTGGAGGAAACCAAAGAGCTCCTGGCTTCTCTTCCTACCTGTCCTAAAACTCACCTTCCAGCTGTTGCTGCTGCTGCTGCTGCTGCTGCTGCTGCTGCTTCCGTCCTGGGAAGAGTACGACAGCCGCACTCCAGGCCTCCATCCTCCCCTGGGTGAGCCAGAAGAGGAAGTGCCTCTACTCCTCTCCTCGACATCCTTTCTAGCAATACTCGATGGTTTTAAACTCCTTTCGCTTCAGCTGCGCCCCATTCCCTTGGATGTCACAACTCAGCCAAGGTGTTCTGGGCACTGGTGTTGTGTTACAACACCACCTAGTGACATGAGCCTGAAAATACGCTCATTCTGTCTCTTTATCTGGAGACAGAATTCCTCCCCCCTCCCCTTAAATCAGGGGTCCCCAACCACCGGTCCCTGGACCGGTACCGGTCCGTGGATCATTTTTTACTGGGCCGCAAAGTTTGGGCGCCGCCATCTTGTTTCGACGGCGCTTCCGGGTTTTCGGTTGCTTCCGGGTTTTCAGTTGGAAAGCGGCATTTGGGTGCTCACGCCTTAGTTTCGTCGAAGGGGGGGGCGGCTTTGAACGAAGACCCGTCCCGATGGCAGTGGAGCCTTGCGTTACTCAGGTACCGGTCCGTGGAAGAATAAATAATCATGAAACTGGTCCCTGGTTCAAGAAAGGTTGGGGGCCACTGCCTTAAATGAAGCACAAGGGAAGGGAAGAGAGAACAATGAAAGGTTGGCAGTTTGGGACTACAACTCACCCTCTGCTTGCAGCTCTGACTTTGCCACCCGGACAGGACTGTGCAGGAGGGAAAACACCTGAGCCTTCCTCAGTCCGGGTTCAGGCTGGGGCACATCACCTGTTGGAAGAAAAATCCATGTGGTTCACGTCCAAGCTGGGAATAAAATAAAATGGAGGCTGATTGGAAAGAAAGTTTGACGATGAACACGACCAATAGCAGATCTGGGATTTCTATGGGATCATGGCTGGCTCTATAGGCAAAAGGGAAAATGCAAATCCTTAGTACTTATCTGAGGTAATCCTGTCAACTTTTGGCTTGCCTAATTGCTTATTTGGAGTTTCCTGTCTGACCCAGTCTTTCCGAATGGATTACCAAAACTGTATTTCTGAAAGCTGGCCTCTTCCATTTCTATGTTAACAATGGCATATAAGGAAAATGTATACAAATGTTTTATAGGTGGCATTTGCCACCTGGGAGATTAGCAAAGATGTATGAAAACTTATCTGCTAAATGTTGGAAATGTAATCAGATACCAGGTTCATATTATCGTATGTGGTGGACATGCTCAAAGGGCAAAAAAAAAAAAAAAATTGGACTAAAATACACACGGTTAAGAAAAAATGATAACGCAACACATAAGATTTGAAACCAGAAATATTTTGGTTGGGTATACTACCAGAACAGTACAATAAAAAGAAAACATACTTAATTTTACATGTATTAATGGCAGCAAGAATTGTGTTTGCACAACAATGGAAAAACAAAGAGATTCCAACAGATGAAAGTATTATTTTTAAAAAATGTGCTGAGGTGGATAAATTAACACTTAAAAGTAAAGAAAAAGAAGAAACAGAATACTTTTTAACATGGGACTTGTTTCACTAAGGGTTAACTAATAGAACAGAGGTTAGAACCTAAAAAGACCCCAAAAGATCAGAATTTTTTTGCCATTGAAAATTTTATAAGATGGACTAAACTAACTGTATTACTATTTTGTGATTAATACTGACATGTCTATTATGATTACTATTATGATTAATGTTGTATCTCTACTTAAAACTGACTGTGCCCAGACAAGACGCTGTTCAGATAGATATGGAATTTTATATTTGTATTAAAAATGTGTCATATATATATATATATATATGATACACACACACGATCTAAAAATTTCCATTTCTCCTTTGGGGAAATATATTTTGTCTCTTTTAATTTTCCACAAATATTTCATTCCTGGAGCAGGCGGGGGAGGGGGTTGTTTGCTGACTTCCTACACACCAAAATGCCATTGGTCACAATTCTCATAGACTTTCGGAGGGTTTGAGATAGATGGGGTAAAATCATTGTGTACCTCATAGACCCCCCCCCATCCGGTTTCAATACCATCGACCAGGATATCCTTCTGGACCAGCTTTGGGGACTGGAAATGGGAGGCATTTTATTACTGTAGTTCTACAGATACAGATAATCAGAGTTGGAAGGGACCTTGTAGTTCATCTAGTCCAACCCCCGACCCGAGCAGGAGACCCTACACCCTACTTCTGCCTCCGTGGCCAGTTCCAGTGTGGGTAGAAGTGGCCAAGTCTTGACCCTAAAATTTGAGATGGCCCAGGGCCCAAGCCTATTGCTGTTGCTTTTTAACATCCACATGAAATTGCTAGGGAGGCCATCCATACTATGAGACCCAATTATGGAGATGTAGTCCGGGAGATATATAACATGATCAAAATTCAGAAACGAGGCAATCGAGTCTTTATTTGTGACAGTTACAGTGTGTCCTGGGGCCATGTGATCACCTTTGGGGACTGAGCTTTTGCACAATCTGGCGGTCCTCCTGGACTCATGGCTCCTGCTTGAGGGGATCTTGACTGGGGGAGGGGCTTTGCACAGATTCATCTGGTGCACCAGTTGTGCCCTTCCCTGGACCAGGAAGGGCTTGCATAGTGGGTCATTCTTGCCTTGGATTACTACCCTGGGCCACCCGGAAACTTTTAACTGATCCAGAACGCAGCGGCACACACCGTAATGGCAGTTCCTAGATTGCACGCGTAACATCTTTGTAGCACGAGCTGCACTGGATTCGTTTCTTTCAGGCGCAATTCTACATGCGGATCATCACCTTTAAAGCTATTTCTTTATTATAGCAAAATAGCATTTAGACGATATGCCACCCCACAGTGCTTTAGTTTATACCACTCTCGGTTTACAGTGTCAGCATATTGTCCCCAACAATCTGGATCCTGGTTTTACTGACCTCAGAAGGACGGAAGGCTGACTCAACCTCGAGTGCCGCCGTCAGGATCGAATTCCAGGCGGTGGGCAGAGTCAGCCAGCATCATTGCACTTCAATATCTAGACCACCAAGACAGCTGTCATTACTGCCCCATCTTTTGTTCTTTTTACATCTGTTCTACCAAGTCAGATAGGGTGGACACGCTGCTAGACCCTTCCGTTAAATATTGCCATCAGATAGGAGCTAAGAAGTGTTCTTTTCCATTGTAAACCCTGAGCTACGAAACACTTCCCTCCTGGAAGTATGGCAAGTGTTTATCCTCCTGGTCTCCTGTAAAGCAAGGAGGTTCTAGTTGTTCTCCTGAAGACTGGGATAAGAAGAGCGGCTTCATTTGGAACCTGGTCTTTGTTTACATTTGTTACATTTATATGCCGCTAATCCTGCAGTTAACTTCTCCAATTTGATTCCTAGCAAGGAGAACTATAACCAGTTTTGAGCAAGAAAGGCACCTGACATGAGCATAGTTAGTAAGGCCAGAAGGCCAGGTTAAGTTCTAAATTGAACAAAAGCAAGAAATCACCTTTTAGAGATTCCCAGATTATAAAAATTCCACCAACCTTGCTAGAAGGGCCGTGTAGTTGCAGGACTACATTTTAAATGTGGAGGCTTTGCATTTTGCCATTTGCAATACATGGGGTTAAGGTATTAAGGTTTTATTGCTGTAAACTGTACGGAGTTAGGCTGCCATATACATTTTTTTACTGAATAAAAATACATATATACATACATACTGAATAAAGACATAATGATGGATATGTGTATTTATATTCCCCTTTATTATATGTAGAAATAAGTCAAGGTGGCAAACATTCCTAATAAAGATTCTATTCTATTCCTATTCTATCCTTGTTTCATTAAAAAGAATCATGCAAGAAATTAAATGGTAAATTGCTCAGCTGGTTTTCAAACGAGAGACAAACAACAAAATTCAAGATTCCTCTATACACATCAAATTTTGCCTCAAGTGCAATTTCTTATGATAAGGGAGGAATTTTGTGCAAAACAATCTTTGATTGCAAAGATTGGGTATTTGAATGGTTACTCACCTATGTGTAACTTTACATGATTTATAAGGCTAGACTTAGTATGGAAATCTTTCCCACAATCCGGATATTCAGAGGGTCTCTCTCCTGTGTGAATCCTACAGTGTATCACCAAATGGAAATTCCGACTGAAGCTTTTCCCACATTCAAGACACTTATATGGTTTTTCTCCTGAGTGAGTCCTCTGGTGTTTCACCAAGTTGGAACTCTGACTGAAACTTTTCCCACAATCCGGACACTGATACGGTTTCTCTCCCATGTGAGTTTTCTGGTGTATCAACAGGTTGGAATTCTGAGTGAAACTGGTATAGATGGTAACCTGGCTCAGTAGTAGTAACTATAAGAGGGAGTCACTCTTGGAATCCTAGTGGACAATCACTTAAATATGAGCCAGCAGTGTGCTGCAGCTACCCAAAAAGCCGATGCAGTTCTAGGCTGCATTAACAGAGGTATAGAATCAAGATCATGTGAAGTTTTAATACCACTTTATAAGGCCTTGGTAAGGCCACACCTGGGATCCTGCATCCAGTTTTGGTCACCATGATGTAAAAAAGATGTCGAGACTAACCATTTCCCTGAAGTGGTGTAGGGTTTCCTGCCTAAGCAGGGGGTTGGACTAGAAGACCTCCAAGGTCCCTTCCAACTCTGTTCTTCTCTTATTCAAAACACAGACACACAGAAATACACCCCCCATGAATTTCTATAGGTAGACAATCTGTGTGTGCTTCGAGTGGGCAAAATGTCCCAGAAGTGCATTCGCTCCAATTCCTTGATCTAATTTCAGAAAGGCGGGGCCACTAACAGATGAAATCGGGATCAAATCCTATGAAAGATTTAAAACATCCGTTTTGCCCGTGAAACCCCTCGCTTGCCAGGAAAGCAGCTGTCAATTAGGGAGGGAAAGAATAGGCTGCAGCAGCCGACATGTTTCAGCCTTCTCCCTTCCCTGCTTCCCCGCCGTGGAGGAACCCAAAGGGCCCGACTTGCTCCCGGCTTCTCCTCCGACCTGCCCTCCACTCACCTCCCAGGATCCGCTTCGACCCTCCAAGCAGCACAAGAGGCTCCGCCGACGCCATTATCCTCCCGTGGGTGACCCGGAAGAGGAAGTTTCCCTGCCCTTCGCCTCTGCATCCTCTCTAGCAATCCACTACTCTATCTGTCTAATGGAGCTTTTCAGTCACCCGGGTCATGGTTTGTCCCCAAAGGTGATTTTTTTTCAGGAGGGAACTGGACTTTCTTGTTTTTTTTTCTTTAAAGACGTTTCGCTTCTCATCCGAGAAGCTTCTTAAGTTCTGACCGGATGGCGGGGAATGGAAGGATTTATACTCCGTGCAGACAGCCAGGTCATTCATCCTTTGGGAAGATTAACACTCTACCGCAGGGGGTCTTCAAACTTGGCAACTTTAAGACTGGTGAACTTCAACTCCCAGAATTCCTGCTCCAGTCATGTTAGGTCAGGAATTCTGGGAGTTGAAGTCCACAAGTCTTGAAGCGGCCAAGTTCGGAGACCTCTGCTCTGTCGTTTAGCCTCGTTCCAGCTCAGCTTCTCTCGCTTTCCTAGAGCAGATGTGCCGCCGCTGTACCATTCCTGCTTCCTTAGGCGCGAGTGTTGCTTCTTTGTACAGCGCCACCTAGCGCCATAAGGCTGAAGAACGTCTTCGTTCTACTTTTCTGCTACTTCAACCCTAAGGGGGTTTGCAAGATGTTTTCACAGATTCCCTGCTTTCTGATGTGTCATCAAGTCGTATGGAAAACTTTTGTGAGCGATCGATTTGAGAAATTTACCTGGCAGAGGAGTTAAATGCGTTGCTGCAGATTAAGATCTTTTGTAAGTGCAGCTGAAGAGAGCCATGAAAGGTTGGCAGCGTGGAAATTAAACTAACTCTCTGCTTGCAGCCCTGATTGTGTCACCCAGAGAAAGGGCTGTGCAGGAGCAAAGACACCTGGGCCCTTCTCAGTCTGGGTTCAGGCCGGGGCCCAACACCAAAATGCCATTAGTTGCAATTCTCATGGACTTTTGGAAGGCTTGGGATAGATGGGACAAAACTATTATGTCTTTCCGAGATCTCAACCCCATCGATTTGCTATCCTTCTGGACCGGCTTTGGGGACTGGAAATGGGAGGCAATTTATTATGGTGGTTCTGTTTCTACTTTCAATTGGTGTGTGTAGAAGAGGAACCAAGTTCTGGCCCCTGAAATTGGGGTGCCCCAAGTCTCAAGGCATTTGCTGCTGCTTTTCAACATCTACATGAAACTGCTAGGGGAGGCCATCCATCCTATGATACCCAATTATGTAGTTAGTCTTTAATTTACAACATTTCAATCGGTGACCATTTGAAGTTACAAGAACATTGAAAAAGGTGACGTGTCCATTTTTCACCTTGCAGCATGCTCAGGGTCATGTGATCACACTTCAGAGAGTGAGAGGCCTTGCACACAGGTCATTAATGCCTTGCCCACCTCATTTTGGCTTACTGGCCCGGACCAACTAGAAACCTCATCTGGTCCGAACGCAGCAGCCCACACGAGGGCCCCTAGGTTGCCCATGTAACATATTTGTCACACGAGCTGCACTGGGTTTGTTTTTTAAGGTGCAATTGAAGATGCTGGTCATCACCTTTAAAGCTATTTCTTTATTATAACAATAGCACTAGCACTATATACCACCCCACAGTGCTTTATAGCTCTCTCGGTTTGTAGTATCAGAATATTGTCCCCAACAATCTGGGTCCTCATTCTACTGATCTCAGAGGGATGGAAGGCTGAGTCAACCTTGAGCCCTATCAGTATCGAACTCCAGGCAATGGGAAGAGTTAGCTGGCAATATTACATTCTAACTACTGAGCCACCAGGGCACATCACTAGTTTCCCACCTTTTATTATTTTCCCATCTATCTGTTCTACCAAGTCAGATAAGGTGGGCACATTCCTAGCCCCCTTGCCTTAAATATTACTGTCTGATAGGAGCTAGGAAGTGAGTGTTTTCTGTTGCAGCTCTGCCCTATCAGACACTCTTCCCCCTGAGGTTTGGCAGGCGTTTATCCTCCTGATCTTCTGTAAAGGAAAGAAGATCTAGCTTTTCCACTAAGCACTGTGATAAGATGAGGCGCCTGCACATCAGAAGTTTGATTTGGGGCCAGGCTTTTGTTTTTATGCATTTAGTTTTAATACTGTCTTTAAGTTAATTATTGATTGGGAGCCAACCTGAGTGTGTTGTAACATGAATGCCTACATAAATATTTTAAATAAATCAGAGGAAAAAAGATCAATCTGGAAAATGGCTCTGCTGAAGCTACCCATTTGCAGATTGCTTGAGCCACTGAAGGTCTATGCATTTATTTAAGTATCAAATTTATATGCCGCAAATCCTGCGGTGAACTTCTCCAATTTAACTCCTTGCATAGAGAAAGATAACCAGATTTGAGCAAGAATGGCACCAGGCATGAACATTAGTAAAACCAGGAGGCCTGGTTAACTTCTAATTTGAACAAAGGGAAGAATCGTGTTTTTTGAATTCCCAGACTATCCGAACGCCATCAACTTTGCTCTAAGTGCCCTGTATTTGCAAATAAACATTAAATGCAGAGGCTTTGCATTTTTTAATATATGGGAGTTATTGGTTTCTGTATTAAGGTTTTATTACTGTAAACCATGTGGAGTTATCATTAGTGGGGCTGTCATGCAAATTTTCATGCTAAGTAAAAAAAAAACAAATGCATATCCCCCTTTATTATATGTAGAAATAACTCAGGGCATCACATTTACTCTGGCCGAGCATAACAGTTCCTCTTGACTCCCTGATAAGGAACGACCTCACTGGGCCAGAGAAAGGAAGGTCAGATCAAGTTAGAGAAAGGAAGAACAAAGAAAGAAAAAGGAAACTCAAATCGAATTAAAGGCCTACAGGCTAAAACATACGAAGAATGGTTAGAAAAACTGGACATGGCTAGTAAAGAGAAGGACCAGGGGTGACATGATAGCAGTGTTCCAATATTTGAGGGGCTGCCACAGAGAGGAAGGGGTCAATCTATTTTCTAAAGCACCTGCAGGCCAGACAAGGAATAATGGATGGAAACTAAACAAGGAGAGATTCAACCTGGAAATAAGGAGAAACTTTCTGACAGTGAGAACCATCAACCATCAAGAATAGCTCGCCTTCAGTTGTGAGTGCTTCATCACTGCAGCTTTCAAGAAGAGACGTGACTGCCACGTCAGAAATTGTATAGGATAATATGCTTGAGCAGTGGATTGGACTAGATGACATACAAGATCCCTTCCAACTCTGTTACTCTATTCTATTCCACTCTCATGTTTGATACTAAGATATGTTTCATTAAAAGGAATCATACAAGAAATTAGTTAATTGTTCAGCTGGGTTTTCAATGAGAAAAACGAAATTCAATATTTCTCCAAACACATTAAATTTTGCCTCAGGTGGAATTTCTTGTGTGTGATAAGGGAGGAATTTTATACGAAACACAGTCTGCAATCTGGGTATTTGAATGATTACTCCCTTATGTGTAACCTTACATGATTTATAAGGCTAGACCTAGTACTGAATTCTTTCCCACAATCAGGACATTCATATGGTTTCTCTCCTGTGTGAGTCCTCCAGTGTATCACCAAATTGGAATACCAACTGAAATTTTTCCCACATTCAAGACACTCATATGGTTTTTCTCCGGTATGAGTCCTCTGGTGTTTCACCAGGTAAGAATTCTGACTGAAATTTTTGCCACAATCCGGACACTGATATGGTTTTTCTCCTGTGTGAGTTCTCTGGTGCATCACCAGCTTGGCATTCTGAGCGAAACTTTTCCCACAATCTGGACACTCATACAGTTTCTCTCCTGTGTGAGTCTTCCAGTGTATCACCAAAGTGGAATTCCGACTGAAACTTTTCCCACATTCAAGACATTCATATGGTTTTTCTCCTGTGTGAGTCCTCTGGTGTTTCACCAAGTCGGAGTTTTGAATGAAACTTTTCCCACAAAACAGACACTCATATAATTTTTCTCCTGTATGAGTCCTCTGGTGTAAAACCAGGCCATAATTCCGAGTAAATTTTTTTCCACAATCCAGACACTGATACTGCTTGTCTCCGGTATGAGTTCTCTGATGTACCACCAGGTGAGAATTCCGATAGAAACTTTTCCCACAATCTACACATTTATATGGTTTCTCCCCTGTGTGAGTCCTCTGGTGTTCTACCAGGTGGGAATTCCATCTGAAACATTTCCTACAATCAGGGCACTCATACGGTTTTTCTCCTGTGTGAGTTCTCTGATGTTCCACTAGGTGGGAATTCTGACAGAAACATTTCCCACAATATAGACACTCGTATGGTTTTTCTCCTGTGTGAGTCCTCCGATGTCTCACCAGATTGGAATTCTGACTGAAACTTTTCCCACAATCTGGGCACTCATATGGTTTCTCTCCCGTGTGAGTCCTCTGGTGTATCACCAGCTCAGAATTACATGTGAAACTTTTCCCACAATCAGGACATTCAAAGTGTTTCTCTCCAGTGCAAGTCCTCTTCTGTCTCACTACATTGGTGTGCATTGTAAATCTTTTGTCACATTGGGAGCACTGGTGGGTCCTTTCATCAATCACGAGGAAGCTTTTGTGAGTAAAGCTTTGGCCGCATTCCAAACATTTCTATGGCTTTTCATTTGGTGGATCCTCTTATGCATAGTCAGCCGTGATCTACAATCTGTTTTTTTCCCCACATTAAGCTAACTGTGTTGTTTTTCCAACACTGATATTATTGGATTTTTGTGGAGACCAAAAATATTTCTGATTTCTTACTTAGAGTTTCTTTGATTGAAGCCATTATTTCCTTCCTCAAAGGCTTTAAATAATGCCTGTCCAATTTAGCTATCCAAGCGACCTTTTCCTTTCCACTGACTTCCAGGAATTTCCCACTTTTTCTTTAGTTGGAAATTATCCTCCTTGCCTTCTTTGTGTAAAGTTTACTTCAAGTCCATATACTCTATTTCCAGCTCAAAAGTTTGTTCTTGTTATTCTCTCCCTTATCTCTGATCTGGTGAGGAATAAAAAGTGGTTTTCACTTTCCAGAGGAAGTAAAAAAATTGTTTGATGGCTTGCTTTCCTTTTTAAAGCTGCTTCTCAGTTTCTCTTTTCCACAGTAATCGTCTTGGCATCTTCTTTGTCTGTAAAAATCATATCAATGAGTTAATTTCATTATTGTTGAAAAAATGGCTGCAGAACAGGTGAAACAGGAAAACCACCTGCATTTAACATGAAAAAAACAACACTAAAATCATAGTTTAAGCTCTAACATTATGATTCATTTGGCATACAGAAGGGTAGCAAAATCCAAGTTCAAATATTGAATCAATTATAATATTCTCTTTTTGGCTTTGATAGATCACACAAATATGCACGCCTATTCGCACAGAAATAAAAACCTATGAATTTATGTACGTAGGCAATCTAAGTGTATCAGTGCACAAAATGTCCCAAAAGTGCATTCACTGAAACTTTTAATTTAAATCTGCAAAAGTGGGGACAACAGATGAAATGGTGCCCAAATGCTATGCAAGATTTAAAGCATCCGCATAGCCCATGAAACTGATGGGCACTTAGTAAGAAACATAAAAAAACTAATAAAGATTTATTTAAATCTCCCAGCAGAAAATTAATCACAGGTAGCAGTTTTAAATCGTGCAGCCCCAGAGGAATAAAATTCCGGGAGGGGAAGAATATGCAGCAGCCCCACATGTTTCACCCTCGTTGCTTCCTCTCCCGCTTCCCCGCCGTGGAGGAACCCAAAGGGCCGGACTTGCTCCTGGCTTCTCCTCCGACCTGCCCTCCACTCACCTCCCAGGAGCCGCTTCGATCCTCCAAGCAGCACAAGAGGATCCACCGACGCCATTAACCTCCCGTGGCTGAGCCGGAAGAGGAAATTCCTCTGCCTTTCGCGTCCTCTCCTTAACAACCTTTCCAGCAATCCTCTACTCTATCATTTCAACCCGTTCAATCTCAACTTCTGTCCCTTCTCAGGGTCTCCAACCTTCCAGGAATTCTGGGAGTTGAAGTCCACTAGTCTTAAAGTTGCCAAGGTTGGAGATCCCTGCCCTAGAATAGCTCAGTCGTCGTTTTACCGAGTGTTGCCGCTCTATAGATCGCCACCTAGCGACATAAAGGTGGAAAAACACCTTTAAGGCGTTTGAAGATGTTCTCATTGATTCCGGGCTACCTTAAGTGCCAGAAAGTCCTATTCGACTCCTATCGAGCTCATCGGTAGCTTTTCTCCCTGAGGCTCCATCCCAAACTTTTTCTTTCAGATTCCTTTCATGTCCCTGGAGCTAAGCCCGAAGCTTCGTTTGCGAGAAAGGGCCACTAACCCTACTCATAACATACTCAGAGTTGGAAGGGACTTTGTAAGTCCAACCCACTCCCCCCACAAGCAGGAGACCCTACATCATTTTTGACAAGTGGCAGTCCAATCTCTTCCTGAAAGTCTCAAGTGATGATGCTCCCACAACTTCTGAAGGCAAAGCTGTTCCATTGGTTGATTGTTCTCATTATCAGAAAGTTTCTCATTTCCAGGTTAAATCTCTCCTTGTTCAGTTTCCATCCATTATTCCTTGTTCAGTTTCCATCCATTATTCCTTGTCTGGCCTTCAGGTGATTTGGAAAATCGCTTGACCCCCTCCTCTCTGTGGCAGCCCCTCAAATACTGGAAGACTGCTTTCATGTCTCACCTGGTTCTTCTCTTCACTAGACTAGCCATGCCCAGTTCCTGTAACCGTTCTTCATATGTTTTAGTCTCCAGTCCCCTAATCATCCTGGTTGCTCTTCTCTGCATTCTTTTTCTAGAGTCTCAACATCTTTTTTATAGTGTGGTGACCAAAATTGGATGCAGCACTCTAGGTGTGTGGTCTTACTAAGGATTTATAAATTTACATAGACTTCTGCAAAGCCTTTGATTCAGTGGTACATGACAAACTACTGTTAAAACTAAACTCTTACGGCATTTCCAGATCCCTTCATAAGTGGATTACTGCATTCCTGTCAAACAGGCAACAAATAGTAAAAATAGGGAGCACTTTATCAAATCCTGCTCCAGTTAACAGCGGTGTCCCCCAAGGCAGCGTTCTAGGGCCCACACTCTTTATATATAAATGACTTTTGCGATCACCTTATAAGCAACTGCGTCCTCTTCGCGGATGATGTAAAACTATTCAACACCACCAACAATGCTACTGCTCTTCAAAGCGACCTTGATTATGTGTCTGAATGGTCAAACAATTGGCAACTCCAAATCTCAACCAACAAATGCTCTGTCCTACACATTGGCAAAAAAAATCAGCACACCAAATACAAACTAGGCGGATATAACCTCATTGATGACCCTCACTCAGTCAAGGACCTAGAAGTATTCATATCTAATGACCTAAGCACCAGAGCTCACTGTAACAGCATTGCCAAAAAGGCATTAAGAGTTGTAAATCTAATCTTATGAAGCTTCTCCTCTGGAAATATTGAATTGCTAACTAGGGCATACAAAACCTTTGCTAGACCAATATACGAATACAACTCATCTGTCTGGAATCCGCATTTGTATATCAGACATTAATACAGTTGAGCGAGTCCAGAAGTATTTCATGAGATAAGTACTATACTCCTCTGCTCGCAACAGAATACTTTATGTCACCAGACTTGAAATTTGGGGCTTGGACAATCTTGAACTATGCCGCCTACGGTTGGACTTAAGCATAGTACACAAAATTATCTTCTACAATGTCCTACCAGTCAATGACTACTTCAGCTTCAACCGCAACAATACAAGAGCACACAATAGATACAAAATCAATGTTAACAGCTCCAAACTTGACTGCAGAAAGTACGACTTCTGCAATAGAGTGGTCAATGCCTGGAATGCACTACCTGAGTCTGTTGTTACATCCTCTAACCCCCACTCCTTTAACCTCAAACTATCCACTATTGACCTCACCCCATTCCTAAGAGGTCTGTAAGGGGCGTGCATAAGTGCACCATTCGTGCCTCCCGTTCCTGTCCTATTGTCCCCTTTTAATCGTACCTATTTTCTGTATTCTTACTCATGTTTATATTTATACCTATTATTTTGTAAGCGATTGACAAATCAAAATAAACAAATAAAAATAAAATGGTGTTAGTACCTCACTTGATCTCGATTGTATGCCTCTGTTAATGCAACTTAGGATTGCTTTAGCTTTTTTGGCTGCTGCTGCACATTGATGGCTCATATTTAGCTGGTTGTCCACTAAGACTCCAAGACCCCTATCACAATAATTGCTATTAAGCCTGGTTTCACCCAGTCTATATGTGTACTTTTGGTTTTTTCTTACCTAAGTGTAGGATTTTACTTTTCTCTACACTGAATTTCATTCTGGTAGATAGGGCCCAATGTTCAAGTCTGTCAAGATTTTGAGCCTATCTTCTTGGGTGTTAGTTATTCCTGTCAGTTTAGCATCATCTTCAAATTTGGTAAGTTCCCCTTCTATTCCCTCAACTAAGTCGTTAATGAAGATATTGAAGAGTACTGGGCCTAAGACTGGACCTTGTGGCACTCCACTGCTTACTTCCCTCCATGGAGACTTAGACCTATTACTCATTGAGAACGGTTTTGTCAGCCAGTTGCGAATCCATCTGGTGGTGGTGCTATCTATCCCACTGATGGAAATACACACAGATTTTCTACATACAGAAATCCATAGGTGTGTATTTCTGTGTGTATTTGTGTGTATTTCTGCCTGCGTATATCAATCAGATCAGAGGCGGAAGGGATCTTGGAGGTCTTCTACTCCAACCCCCTGCTGAAGCAGGAAACCCTTTACCATTTCAGATAGGAGGCTTCCAGTTTACTTCCAGTAATTACTTCCAGTAATGAACATTTTTATTTATTTATTTGTTTGTTTATTATTTAGTCAAACAATTATTAGATAACAGGTATAAGTATAAACATGGTTATAAATACATGAAATGGATACGAGTAAGAAAAAAAAGAAACAATAGGACAGGGACGGTAGGCACGTTTTGGTGCACTTATGCACGCCCCGTAATCTTTAAACGCCTTAAGGTAGAACGAGCATGTTCTCCCGCCATACAGTATGTCACTAAATGGCGGTCTATTCGCGGCCAGTTCAGGGGCGGCAGAGGTATACTATCTAGGGAAGGAGCAAAGGTTGGGCTTGAACGGGTTGATACGATAGAGTACTATATTCCTTGAGAGTTCGTTTATTGATTCGCCCGAGGGCCGTATTCCTAGAGAGGATGTGGAGGAGATGAGGCGAAAGAGGAACTTCCTCTTCCGGCTCGGCCACGGGAGGCTGATGGCGTCGGCAGACCCTTTTGCGTTGTTTCGAGAGTCGAAGCGGCTCCTGGGAGGTGAGTGGAGGGCAGGTCGGAGGAGAAGCCGGGAGCCAGTTTGGCCCTTTGGGTTCCTCCACGGCGGGGATGCAGGGAAGGGAGAAGAATGGAAAGATATGGGCTTCTGCTGCATTTTCCTTTCCTTCCCAAATTTTATTCCTCTGGGGCTGCACGATGTAAAA